GTCTTAAGAATTAAACGATTTATCAATTCATTGATGTTTTAGGTCACTCTGTTGATAAAATTTATCAATTATATAGTATAATAATTTATATAAAAAGTTGGGCAGAATTTCGACTGGAATAAATAGAATAATAATGGTCGAGGCAAGAGTTCGACTATTTTTCCTTATACGATAATGTCCAGCATTGGTGCTGATGGTCTTAATTACAGACCTGATGAAACTACTAGTATTTAGATTTCTCTTAAATTAGAGAACTAAAATACACAAAATTAATATTCGGGACTAAAATGCACAATATGAAATAATGTAGGATGGACTGATTATATTTTGCAAGAGAGAAAATTGCGAAAGATTTTTTGGAATGAATAAAATTCAGGACATGTGGACTTGTTTACAGAAGTTGAAATGTTGTGTCCAGAAGATACAATAGTCGAAAAGTATAGGCAATTTTAACGGTCAACCACTAGCTTCTAGAAGATGCCACGCGTCTCGTGCAGAAAAATTTGAGGAAATAAATAATATAATTCAAATGTATTATTTTAATTTAATAATAAAATAATATAAATGAGATATTATGTGACCAAAAAATATATATACCAACTTTGCCCAATCCCAAACGTGAGCAATATAATATGATTTCAATTCTTCTAGTTTTCCTATGTGGGATTAACATTTTCTAATTTTTCATCAATTTTTATTCCCAATTTATTTCAACTTCAAGTGGTCATCTTTTAGCCTTACTTTCTCATTCACCCTTAGTTGATTTTGAGAATGAAATCTTTTTTCCAACTAAAGGGACCCACTTAAATAATTGGTTAAAAGTTGGCCAAACCAACTAGTTATACCAATTTTTCAATAATCTCTCACATGAATGGAAATTAATACAATAGATGATGCAAACCCTATAGAGATATCAGACAAAAATTTATTGCATCCGTATAGGTACTTTACACGATATCTTGAACTGTTAGCCATTGGTGTAAATCAAGACAATAGTATCAACACAATAACCTCCCTAACATTTTTGAGTTCTCAATGTTGTGTTCATTTTGGCATTGAACAACTCTTGGATTTCATAAAACCTTTAGAGAATTCAAGCCTTTAAAACATTCTCATAAAAGCGATCTCACTTCACACTTATATTGATGCTCTCCTATTAAGACTATTTGCCATACTCCAATTGTATAGTCCAAGATATATTAATCATTAAAAGTAGAACTTAATCTAAAATTTTCTGTAGATAGTACTTTTCTTATCATTGTAATGGGTAGGAGTTAATTCCAAAATGCTCTTTGAATCTTTATAATTTGGTCGTCCCATTGAACCAAGATCTTGGAACCTCCAGTCAGCAAGGTTAGGTTACCATTATAAAAATCCTTACATAGTAGGCTTTAAGCCCATTGTTGTCGATTTTATCCCGCAAGTGGACGGATCATAACAAATAGTAAAGTGGATCTTTTAAGTTCGGATTATCGTTCCCATGAGGACTATACTTTAGTGTTCAATTTATTATTCTTAACTTCTCTTTAATGAAAATAAATAAATAATAAATGATTAAATGTTATTTTTAAATTTAACTACTAGAAGTTTCGTGAATGCAACAGAAAATTAGTGAGAATTCAATTAATAAATGGGGATTAGCTAGGGCGGAACAAATTCACCTATTGCTCACATTTATTTCTAATATCGAGATTCATAAAACTAAAGTAGTGTTCGGTCGAATTCTTCTATTGTATTCAATTTACCCCTCTTGAATTCTCGTTGAGCCTATTTAATTAGTTCAATTTCATATCTCTATGCAAATTGAATTTAATTAAACGAACTAACGGTTCTAAGAATTCTTATATGACCGCAGCAATTAATATAGGAATCTCTACACGTTATATTAATTTACCGAATTTTAATTTATGGTCTAAACAAAAATCCACAACTCTACTTAATTATTGTTCTCGAAATTATTGAATAATTGGCTAGAAAATTCAAAGCATTAAAAACATAATTAAAATTCACACATAAAATATAAAAAAATAATAATCTCAAAAAAAGGAAATAAAGGTCCCAAATAGGCTATATTGTTCGCCCTAAAATTAAATTTAGCTACGCATTTTAGTAAAGGAAAAACAAGAAATTATGGAAGACATCACCGAAAATTGACGGAACATGAATAATTTGAGAAGTTAATCTGCCTTTTTTCAGTTTTTCTGCAACTCTAGACTTCTGCGTAATCCACCCTTTTATTTTCAAGCCTTACATGTATATATAGTCTTGGCAGCCGAAATGTGACTCCAAAAAGGAGTCAAATTTCTCTTTTTTTCTACCTTACAGCACCGCGAATCTCCAATATTTAGCAACGGGGAATCTGTGAAAATTATAATATTTGCTGCCCTAAATTTCCATGCGTATATAGTGAACAATCTTGGCTGCCGACACTTTTTTATATCTATAGCCACAACGTTTGACTCCCATTCAAAGGCTTTAATACTATATTACCCATCAAGTCCTCGATCTTTTCATATAATAAATTTCAGTCATTGAGCCCTTTTATTCTTGCAACCCATGTATTCTTTGGTTCAATTCAAGTCCTTTACTTTCTAAATTATTCAATTTGACCTCCAAACAGTTCTTCGATTCATGGTCTGGATCAACTATTGAATTGTTACAACTTGGCCCCCAACTTTTGGATTTCACTCTTTATTCGCTTCATTCCTTTAATTCATTTTTCATTCATAGAATTTACCTATTAAAAATAAGAAACAACAATTTAGGATATAATTTGTCAAAAGAACCATCAAATATCTTTATTTTAAGGTACCAAATAAGTGTATAAAATACACTTATCAAATACCCCCAAACTTTAACATTTGTTTGTCCTCAAACAAAACTATAAATAGATAATAATTAACACACAAGCATGCAAAAATATTCGGTTGGACAATCTAACTTCTCACCTCAGGATTCAAGATTTAGTGTTTACTCTATAAACATGCTTCAAAGTCACAGCACCAAACTAATATCCACTCTTCCAATGCAAAAATTGACGTGTGTGTGTGAAGAATCGAGTAATCAACCATGACTGCACAAGTTGTTTCAATTCTCGATCCTTAATGGTCATATATATCCTTTCATCACTCGTAAGATTCACACACTCCTAAACTTATTCTTTTTCACTCTTTTTCAGTGTGTAATCTAAGGCTGAAAATTTCATTAGTTTAGGTGGACGTTACTAGTTGCAAGTCAACACTTTAGTGAACAAGGAATTCTCCAATTATTTGATTGCTTCGACCTCTAAAACTCAACTAGCTAATTATATTGCATCAAAAGTCGAATTCCCTCAAATAAGTGTTTGGGTTTAACCAAGGTATTTAGTGCTTTAGCTCTTTTTATGCACTTGCTTTTTCTGTTTTTCACAAGTATTTATTTTATATATATATATTCTCTTCATTAAACTTTTTAGATGACCCCTGTAGCAGGCTTTAGGCCGATGACTCCCAAACCAAATGATTTTAGGGCACCAGATTTTTAAATACCCTTACAGGCTTACTAACTTGAGTCAAAAAGGCTTCGAAGAGAAAAAAAAATTTCAAGTGCAACTTCATCTCTAATTGCTTTCTAAATGACCCTTGTAACGAGTTTTAGGCCGATGACTCCCAAGTCAGACGACTTTAGGGCACCAGATTTTAAGATACCCTTACAAACTTAATCACTCGAGTTATAAAGGCTCCAGAGAGAAGTTAAAATTTTTCAAATGTATATGCCTTGATTCGTGCACTTATTCAAACAAATTGACCTCAAACTTAAGACTTTCGTCGAGTTTTATCATGTTCGTTTAAGACAATTCACACATAAGTTTTCACACATGAAATCCACATTCACATCTGCATCTTCCTACAACTGTAAAGTCACCCCCAAACTATGCTAAATTTGGTCTAAGGATAGATAATTTAATATGGCTCAGGTAAAGCATCTATGTCCCACTAGATCAACATATCAAAAGTAAGAAATAACTCATTTAATCATAATGTCAAACTCAATTCTAGTGCGCTTGTAATATCAAATTTTGCAAGGTTGAGTCTCAATTAGTCTAACATGCATCATATCCACAGTTCATAAGTCAACACAAAATCTCAAATTAAATCATCATTGTTTGCCAGACTGTCTAACCCACACAAGCACACAATTGAACAAAAGAGTTTTTTTTTTCTCTTTTTGTTTTAACAAACACACAAAAACATAAAAAAAATAAAAAACTAAAAGTTTTTTCACCCCCAAACTTAAAACTAGCATTGTCCTCAATGTCATAAAGCATAAATAAACATATAAAGGGGTAGGGAAGAAAAAGAAGAAGGTACTCCCCAAATTTTTTTTCTTTTTAATGTGTGAGGCACTATGAGAGACGACTGGATAATATTCTTCTTCATGCTTTCCCTTGGATCTATGTTGGTTAGAATGTTCCACGATGTCATGTTCCTGAAAAGTAAAATTTGACAAATTAAAGATAGGAAGCAAGGGTTACTTAGCTCAAACAATCAAAATAACCAACAATAAATTCAAGGGCTTAAAGGTGGAAGGGATATGGGTGATAACTCCTAAAAATTGAAATGTGCCTAAATCTAATGCAACCTAGTAAACAAAACAAAACTGTATGCTATGCAATAAAAAAAGTAAAATAAAAAAAATTGAAAATTGGGTTGCCTCCTAATGAGCGCTTCCTTTAAATCATTAGCTAGACTTTGTGCTACTATTATTCTGGTACAGCTAGGTCAAGGCTCTCTTTAGTGGTGGGAAAATCTTCTACGTATTACTTGATATGTTGGCCATTTATTTTGAAGTTTCCTTTTGTTGGATGGTGTAATTCAACTGTGCCGTAGGGGAACACCTGAGAGACCGTAAAAGGGCCGAACCATCTAGATTCCAACTTTCCTGAAAACAGTTTAAATCTGGAATTGTATAAAAGCACTTGATCTCCTAGTCTAAAAATTCTGTCTGATGTTCTTGCCATGCTACTGCTTCGTCCTTTCCTTGTAGATGGCTGCATTCTCATATGCTTCTCTTCTGAATTCTTCCAATTCATGTGGCTGCAGTATTCTTGTTTCTCCGACCTTTTCAAGGTCCATGTTTAATTGCTTCAATGCCCAGTATGCTCTATGTTCAAACTCCACTGGTAGGTGGCATGCTTTTCCAAAGACTAGTCGATATGGAGACATCCTAATAGGTATCTTGTAAGCAGTGCGATATGCCCATAAAGCATCGTCTAATTTATTTGACCAATCCTTGCAAGATGCATTCACAGTGAGCTCTATAATTCTTTTCAATTGTCTGTTCGAGGTTTCCACCTGTCCACTTATCTGAGGGTAGTAAGGAGTGGTCATTCGATGTTGTACCCCGTACTTATGCAGCACTATCTGGAATAACTGATTACGGAAGTGAGTTCCACCATCACTTATTATGGCCCTAGGTGATCCACAGCGGTCAAAGATGTGTTTCTTTATGAAGTCCACCACCGCCCTTGCGTCATTTATAGGCAATGCTTTAGCTTCTACCCATTTAGAGACTTAATCCACTGCCACTAGGATGTACCAATTGTTGTAAGATGATGGAAATGGACCCATAAAATCAACCCCCCAGATATCAAATATTTCCACCTCCAAAATGTGGTTAAGTGGCATCTCGTGATACGCTGATATGTTACCTGTTTTTTGACATTTATCACATGATCTGCAGAAACTATGGCAGTCTTTGAATAATGTAAGCCAAAAGAAACCACATTGAAGCACCTTTGCTGCTGTTTTAGAGGGGCCAAAGTGTCCTCCATAAGCCGAAGCATGAACCCGTGAAAGGATAGATTTCATCTCATCCTCTGGCATACATCTCCTAATGATCTGGTCTGCCCCTCTTCCGTATAAATTTGGATCATCCCAATAATAGAATTTTGCTTCATGAAGCAACTTCTTCTTCTGCTGGTAGGTGAGATCAGGATCCATATAGCCACTAAGTAATTAACAATGTCTGCATACCACGGAACCTTTTCTATCTGCAATAACTGCTCATCTAGGAAGACCTCATTAATATCCACATCATCTGAATCACGCAGTTGCTCTAACCTTGATAAATGGTCCATTACCTGATTTTCTATACCCTTTTTGTCGTGAATTTCAATGTCAAACTCTTGCAGTAATAGAACCCATCGAATCAGCCAAGGTTTAGCATTCTTCTTTTCAAACAATCCTTCTTTTCAAACAGATATTTCAATGCTGCATGGTCAATGTAGACTATCACCGTTGAACCAATCAGATAGGAACGAAATTTATCGAAGGCAAAGACCATTGCTAGCATCTCTTTCTCAGTTATTGCGTAGTTGATCTGAGCATCTGTCAAGGTTTTGCTGGCATAGTAGATGACATGTAACATTGTTTCCTTACGTTGTCCAAGCACTGCTCCCACTGCAAACCCACTAGCATCACACATAAGTTCGAAAGGTAGATCCCAATCAGGTGCTACTATCACAGGTGCAGAAGTTAACTTTTCTTTCAAAGTATTAAAGGCGTTTAAGCACTCATCAGAAAAGTTTAATGGCACATCCTTCTCCAATAGATTGCACAGAGGTTTTGTAATTTTTGAGAAATCATTAATGAACCTTCTGTAAAACCCTGCATGTCCTAAGAAGCTTCTGATCCCCTTAACTGAATTAGAAGGCTGCAATTTTTCAATCACTTGTATTTTGGCTTTGTCAATTTCTATGCTCTTTGAGAAAATCCTATGGCCCAGCACTATCCCCTATTTTACCATGAAATGGCACTTTTCCCAATTTAGCACTAGGTTATTCTCTTCACATCTTTGCAATACAAGAGCCAACTGATCCAAGCAGTCATCAAATGAATCTCCAAACACAGAAAAATCATCCATGAATACCTCGATGTATTTTTCCACCATGTCAGAGAATATGGCCATCATGCACCTTTGAAAGGTTGTGGGTGCATTGCATAAATCAAAAGGCATCCTTCTAAACGCAAAAGTTCCATAGGGACATGTGAAGGTTGTTTTCTCCTGGTCTTCTGGGGTAATAACTATCTGATTATACCCAGAATATCCGTCCAGAAAGCAGTAATGAGAATGACCGGCCAACCTCTCCAACATCTGATCAATGAATGAAAATGGAAAATGATCATTTCTGGTTGCAGTGTTTAGCTTTCTGTAATCTATACATACTCTCCATCCTGTCACTAACCGCATTGGTATCAGCTCGTTGTTCTCGTTCTTCTCCACTGTGATTCCACCCTTTTTTGGCACAATATGCACTGGACTCACCCTTGAACTATCAGATATTGGATAAATAATATCTGCATCCAACAATTTCAGCACTTCTTTTCGCACAACTTCTTTCAAGGTTGGATATAATCTGCCTTCTCCTTCCACTGATGGCTTTGACCCGTCCTCCATTAAAATCTTGTGCATACAAAGAGTTGGACGTATTCCTCTGATGTTAACTATTGTCCATCCAATTGCTATTTTGTGCTGCTTGAGTACCTCCAACAATTTATTCTCCTCTTCCATTGTCATGTCATTTGCAATGATTACTGGAAGTGTTGTAGATTCTCCCAAATATGCATAATGGAGATGTGAAGGCAAGGGCTTTAATTCAAGAGTGGGTGCCTTTTCTAATGAAGGTACTGGGGGTGAAGGGTTTTGACCAAGAGATTTATACTACCAATGTCTTCTTCCTATTGATTGCTTAGCCAAGTTGGCAACACATTCAGTTTTTTCTATACTTGTTGCTCCCGATTGTGCAATTTTTGCTTCACAAAGAACTGTTTGATGCTCTATCTCAAATGTATATGCCACAAGCTCTTCAAGAACATCTACTTGGCAACAGGTGTCTGAAGTCAGTGGATATTTCATTGCCTTGAACATGTTGAATATAACTTGCTCATTGTCCACCCAAAGAATCATCTTTCCATCGTAAACATCAATCAGCGCTCTTCCAGTAGCCAAGAAAGGTCGTCCCAAGATTAGAGGGATGTTTGAATCCTCATCCATGTCCAAAATGATGAAATCAGCCGGAAAAATAAATTTATCAACTTTGACTAGCACATCTTCAATAATCTCCTTCGATCGTTTGATTGATCTGTCAGCCAATTGCAAAGAGATTATTGTAGGTTTTGCTTATCCTAATCCAAGAGACCTGTAAACAAAGAGGGGCATCAAATTAACACTGGCACCTAAATCACATAAAGAATGCTCAACATAGTTAGAACCAATTGTGCAAGGTATCGTAAAACTCCCTGGGTCACTTAGTTTAGGAGGTAGCTTTTTCAATAGAATTGCACTGCACTCCTCGTTTAGGCAGACAGTCTCATGTTCTTCCAGCTTCCTTTTGTTAGACAGGATCTCCTTCATGAATTTTCCATAGCTGAGCATTTGGGCTATTGTATCTGCAAACGGAATATTGATGTGCATTTTCTTACAAATCTCCACAAACTTGGTAAACTGCGTGTCCAACTTCTTTCTTTGTAACCTTTGAGGAAAGGGAATTGGGGGTACATAAGCTTTCACGGGGCTGGGTGCTCTCACTGTGGGTGTTTCTTTCCTTTTATCCTCCTCATTAGTTGGTTGTTCAGACTCTGCTTCTATCCCAACCTCTTCATCCATTACTTCGTTGTCTTTTCTGTCTGGTCTCTTCACATGTATTTCTGGAAGTTGCACTCCACTTCTAGTTGTAATAGCTTGCACTTGCTTTTTTGAATTGACCATTGTGTTGCCTGGCAATGTTCCTTGTGGGCGTTCTGCAAGCTGTTGAGCTATCTGACCAATTTGGGTTTCCAGCTTCTTAATGGATGCTTGTTGATTCTGAAAGTTAGTGTCAATCTGCTGGAATACCTTGTCTATCTTCTGCATGTACTGGTTGAACATCTCCCCAAACTTAGTTTTTTCTCCTGTTGTACATTATTTGAACTGTTTCCTTGCTGATTATCTGACCATATGAAGTTTGGGTGTTGTCTCCATCCTGCATTATATGTTTGTGAAAATGGATTATAATTTCGAGAGCCATTCTAAATGAAGTTGATTTGTTCCTCTGGAAAGTCCAAAGATGTACAATTTTTTGTTAGATGATTAGCTCCGCAGTTACAATTTTTTGTTAGATGATGGACCGTCCATCATCTGCATGTGCTCCTTTTGTTTGTGACTTCACCAATAACTCTACTTATTTTGTCAATGCTACTATTTGGGTATTGGTAGATGCTGTGCTATCTAATTCATAAATTCTCGCTGCTTTTGGAGGCACCACTCTTTCTGATGAAAACATGGAATGAGTAGTAGCAATCAATTCAAGCAGATCCATACATTGTTGCACTGATTTCCCTATGATCGATCTACCTACAAGGAATCCACTTGAGATTTGGACAGTGGTGAAAGTCCTGTGTAGAAATACTGCACTTGAGTTTCAATAGTAATCCCATGATTTGGACACTTCCTCATCAACTCCTTAAATCTGTTCCATGCCTCGTGATAGCTCTCTCCATCTCTCTGTTGAAAAGTTTGAATTTTCAGTCTGATTTTTGCTACCTTAGCTGGTGGAAAGAACTTATTGCAGAATTTCCTGGTCAGTTCCTCCCATTGGTAATACTTCCATCCAGTTCGGCATCCAGCCATTCCAATACTGCATCTCTCAGTGTATATGGGAATAATCGCAGCTTGATGGCGTCCTCATTAACCCCAGGAGCATGACAATTCTGGCAATTCCTGAGAAGCCTTGAGATATGTCTGTTTGGATTCTCATGAGGTAACTCGTAGAATTGCAGAGTGTTGCTCATCAAATTAATCCAATCAACCCGTATCTGGAAGTTGTTTACCCCAAAATCTGGATATACTATGCTGGACCACACGGGTGCTGCTATAGGCGTAAAAAACATAGAAATTGGCAAGTCCCCTTCATTTACTTCCCTTTGTTCTTGTTGTTGAGCTCCCGCGACCATTTGTCCAATTGGCTGTACAATGATAGGATTGTTTAGATTGTCAACCATTTGATGTTGTTGTTCTTGTTTGTGTTCCCTGCATCTTCATCTGAAGGTACATTCTATTTTCGAATCAAACGGTTCAAGATCGTCGCCTTGGACACGGAGCATACAACGAACACAGTTTTTTGTAAATAAAAGAAAATAAGCAAATCAAATAACAATTAAAAATAAAATAAAATAAAATTAATTAATTAAGACTAAAAATAATAGTCTCAGGCAATGGCGCCAAAAATTTGTTGTCGATTATATCCCGCAAGTGGATGGATCGTAACAAGTAGTAAAGTGGATCTTTTGAGTTCGGATTATCGTTCCCACGAGAACTATACTTTAGTACTCAATTTATTATTCCTAACTTATATTTAATGAAAATAAATAAATAATAAATGATTAAATATGATTTTTAAATTTAACTACTAGAAGTTTCGTGAATGCAACAGAAAATTAGTGAGAATTCAATTAATAAATGGGGATTAGCTAGGGTGGAACAAATTCACCTATTGGTCACCTTTATTTCTAATATCGAGATTCATAAAACTAAAGTAGTGTTCGGTCGAATTCTTCTACTGTATTCAACCTACCCCTCTCGAGTTCTCGTTGAGCCTATTTAATTAGTTCAATTTTATATCTGTATGCAAATTGAATTTAATTAAACGAAATAACAGTTCTCAGGATTCCTATATGACCGCAGTAATTAATATAGGTATCTCTACACGTTATATTAATTTACCGAATTTTAATTCATGGTCTAAATAAGAATCTACATCTCTACGTAATTATTGTTCATGAAATCATTGAATAATTGGCCAAAAAATTCAAAACATTAAAAACATAATTAAAATTCACACATAAAATGTAAAAGAACAAAAATTTCAAATAAAAGAAATAAAGGTCCCAAATAAATTACATTGTTCGCCCTAAAATTAAATTTAACTATGCATATTATTGAGAGAAGAACAAGAATTTATGAAAGACATCACCAGATTAATTGAGGAAACGTGAATAGTTTGTAAAATTGAATCTGTTGTGTTCCCTCTCTCTCTCCTTCAGTTTTCCGTGCGTGTAAATTTAATGGTAGAAGACAAATCCTAGCAGCCCTCTAATTAATTTTGTTGTTCTGATTTTCGTGCGTCTCTGAAAATTCAACCTCAATTCTGTATGAAAAATATATCTTTTCAATCCTACAACCACAAAGTTTGACTCTCATTCAAAGACTTTAATACTATATTACCCATCAAGTCCTCGATCTTTTCATACAATAAATTTCAATTCTTGAGCCCTTTTATTCTTGCAACCCATGTATTCTTTGGTTCAATTCAAGTTCTTCAGATTTCTAAATTATTCAATTTGACCTCCAAACATTTCAATCTTCGATTCATGGTCCGAATCAACTATTAAATTGTTACAACTTGGCCCCCAACTTTTCGATTTCGCTCTTTTTTCACTTCATTCCTTAAATTCCTTTTTCATTCATAGAATTTACCTATTAAAAATAACAAACAACAATTTAGAATATAATTTGTCAAAAGAACCATCAAATATCTTTATTTTAAGGTACCGAATAAGTGTGTAAAATACACTTATCACCCATTCTCCTTAATAGTGATCTCTGGGTAAGCCTTTGGTAAGGGGATTTGCACGATTTTCTCTAGATTTTACATAATCTATAGAAATAACTCTATTCAAGATCAACTACTTAATTGTATTATGTCTTCGACGGATATGTCATGACTTACCATTATACATACTACTTTGTGCTCTATCAATAGCTGGCTGATTATCACAATGCATATTAACTGCAGGCACAAGTTTATGCACAAAATGGAATATACTTTAAAAGATTACGAAGCCATTTTACTTTCTCTCTTACTTTATCTAAAGTTATGAACTCAGATTCCATCGTGGATTAAGCTATACACGTTTGTTTCGAGAATTTCCAAGATACGACAACACTAATGGTAAAAACATAACCACTAGTGGATTTTGAGTCTTTTGTATCTGATATCCAATTAACATCACTGCATCCTTTTAATACAGCTGGATATCTAATATAATACAATCCAATACTTGAAGTGTATCGTAGATATTTAAAAACCCTTATCAATGCCTTCTTATGGTTGTTATTTAGGTTATTTGTAAATCTACTAAGTTTGTTCACTACATGTGCAATATCTGGATGAGTGTAGTTTGTAATATACATTATACTACCTATTATTTGAGAGTACTCAAACTAACATACGGGTCCGCCTTTATGTTTGGCTAAATGTAGACTTAAGTCTATTGGAGTTTTAACTGGACTTTCATCATATATATGAAACTTCTTATTTACAGTCTCAATATAGTAAGATTGAGATAGAACAAGTCCCTCAGATGTCTTAATGATTTTAATTCCTAATATTACATATGTAATATCCATATCTTTTATGTCAAAATGTTTTGTCAATATTTTCTTGGTAATTATTATGATATCACGATTACTACCCATAATTAGTATGTCATTAACATATAGACATACAATTACATTTGCACTATGTTGGTTTTAATATAAACACATTTACCACAGTCCTTAATCTTAAAACCATTTTGCCAATATAGTTTTGTCAAATTTTGCATGCCATTGTTTTGTGCTTGCTTTAGTCCGTATAGCGACTTATATACCTTTTTCTCTTATCCAGGAGCAATGAACCCCTCATCTTGTTCCCTATAAATTTTTTCTTCTAACTCTCTATTCAAGAAAGTTGTGTTAACGTCCATTTAATGTATCTCCAAATTATGCAATGCTTCGATTGCAGTTAATACTCCAATAGATGTTATCCTTGTCATGGGTGAGTATGTATCGAAAAAATCAAGACTTTCTTTTTGTTTGAATTCTTTAGCTACCAATTTGGCATTATATTTATCGATCGATCCATTAGTCTTTAATTCTCATTTGGAAATCCATTTATAACCTAACAGTTTGTTACCAGGTGAGAGATTTACCAACTCCCAGGTATGATTCTACATAATAGAATCAATTCCACTATTGATAGCCTCTTCATAAAATGAAGCTTCTACACTTGATATTGTTTTATTGAATGTCTTAGGTTTATTTTTTAGTAAATAAGTTAAAAGTTTAGACCAAACAATGTAGCTATTTGGTCCTTTTACTACATCTTGGTTCTTTATCACTTTGATGATTATTAATTACAGTATCACAAGTTTTTTTTTTTTTTTTGCTAGCTTATCTCTTTTCTATCCTTACAAGGAGAAATGTTCTTAGAAATACACAATTTATAGATTTAATACTAGTATTTTCTTGTACATTCGAAATGTTAGATTATGTACAATGAACCAATAAGCACTACTGATTTTTGGCATATCCAATGAATAAATAGTCAATGATTTTTTGCCGTATTTTAACTTGTTTAAGCTTTGATATAACTATGAATTTGTTCTAGAGGATTCGAGTTCCTTTCAACTGAATGAAACGGAGTTTTGGCTAATTTAGCCTCTACACAAGTTTCGTACCGATGATTTTGATAAAATGAAATAAAAGGCAATAAATTTAAACTTATTAATTTATGTAAAGTATTAATATTAACATGTCATAATCTATCATACCATAAATTAGAAAATTCAATCAAGTAAACAGGAGATTAATTTTATTAATATCAAAATCACGAAGTATAGGCATTACATTCATTTTGGATAGCCCATTGGCTACCCCTTGCCCACAAGCATGCCATTTTGGTGAGTACAAACTTGCCAGATTCAAATACTAACCTAATGTCATCTTCGACACTACTTTATCTAGACCAACAACTTTTGATATTGTCGAGTTGTCAATGGATAGTTGTCGCCCATTGATAGGAGTGTAAGATGAAAACAACTCTTTATCAGCACAAATGTGACAAGTAG